ACGTTAGATTCCCTGAGTTGATGAGGTAAAGCTGATGAAGGAGTCCAGCCTCAGTCAAGGCTCCTATTAAGAACATCAGGGAAAGAGGAAGCCCCCATCAGCCCAAACCCAAGGTCAGAGAGGCGCCCTTCACCAGCACCAGCAGCTGGGTCAAGTCCTGGCTGAAGAGGTAACCCATGGCAACAGTGAATAGAACCACACCCAATGAGGAGGGAATGAAGAAGGTACAGATGGCAACACACACGGATGACAGAAACATCACCAAGAGCCTGACAAAAAGAAAAACAGAAGATCATAGTTACAGGGGACACAAACTGGAATTTTATACAACAGAAGTCTGATTAAAGAGTGCAAGTATTCACCAGAAAGGACTGCAATGTAGAGTTAGTCACGTTGAATCAATGAAAGCAGTTGAATCTTCTGTTTATTCAGCTGCAGCGATAGGCATTTCCTGGGTTTCTTCTGCGAGGTTTATTTGGAGTTTCAGCGCGAGAGCAAAATCGATCACAAATGCAGACATGGTTTTATGTTTACGCGGCATGATACGCAACGCAACGCGTCCAAATACAGTATAAGTCATTATAATCAGTAATTATGTCCCCACTGGATGCAACAAATGCCTCGTTTGTAATGGGTTTTATTGGTTTTGTCTCGTCGTGCTGGGAGATGGCATCACAGTATGCTAAGGGGGTAACATTTCCGTCACACGCTTGAGGTATTCACCCAATCACAACACACTGGATAGCTGGCCAATCAGAGCACACCTCGCTTAGTAATCGACACGTTTCAGAAAGGCGGGGCATAGAGGAGCAACAATAATGTACAGTATGTGGAAAAGAATGTGTTTTTTGAACCTTAAACCGCATAAACACATTGCATTACACCAAATACACAACATAATGTTCTTTTTAGCAACGTCATATGACCCCTTTAAAAATGAATGACCAGAATAATGTAATATTTTCAATAATAATATCTTTATTTGGGAGTTTTTCCTCAGCAGATTTCCATAATAATGCAATAATGCAAATAATTCAATTAATTAATCAGTATTTTATGTAATTAATCAATTTAAATTATGAATTAATTAAAAGTGCTAATATAAGTGTATACACAATACTAAATATACTATATTTACTGTATAATAGTTTATATAATATTTCATAATTATATATTAATTATAGCTATTGTTTTATAATATATACATTATATAATTATAATATATACATTGCGTATATTTCATAAATATATAAATGTATTCATATTTCTCCTCATTATTTAACATTAGAGATGAGTGGACAGTGTTACTTGCCAAGCAATTGTTTTAAAGTTAGACTATTGGAAAGAATATAACCTCCAAAATAAGTGTTTATTTTTATTACACATTAACTATTTTGTCTGGAATTGTTTATCTTAATTACAATAAATATCTTTATAGGGAGTTTTCTCAAAATATTTTTTTTCTCATGCACTGAGCCAGAAATCTCTACTTACATAAACAAAACTTTACAGTTTTATTCCTACCTATATTCTGAAGTTTCTTACAGAGGGGTTTGCTCATATATCAGTCAACTGATTTATGTAACATTGCATTCCTTAAAAGTTGGTGGAATTTTTTTTTTCTGGCTGTTGACAGAATTTTCTGATTTATGGAATGATAAAAATAGAAATATCCAAAATCCCCTCTGTAAAAACATTTAACTCTAATATGCCAACAAAATTAAACAATAATTTTGAACCTGGGTTTATCCAATGTCTGAAATGTATGAAATTTAGTTTATATTTAAATTGAATGCATAATTTGCATATTGAACAAAAAAAAATGTCTTGTGATAAATCAATTGGGGAAGTACCCAGATGGTATCAGTTACATTTTTTTTTTTTACATATTCACCTGGTAAAAAAACAACCTCTGTGTATTTTTACACATTTGATTCCCAGTTTACCTGTTTGTTGATCTTACCCGAGCAAAATAAGCAGAGATGATTATTGCCAAAATAAACATACAGCATAAACACACGAGGAAATGTGGAGTCAATCAGCATCAAACCTGAGACTTCGAATTGTGTGCTCTTAGCTTTTGATTTGTGGCTATAATCCTCAGATTTAAGTTTTTTTATGCAGTCTTGTTGATTTGTATCCTGTGATCTGTTCACATGCTAACACTGCATTTATGACAAGAGACAAACATGAACGTGACAACAGGTTTACAGACCATTACAATAACCAAACACAAAGCTCTTATATCATATTACATTATAATATCGTCTTGGTTTCCTCCAAATAGCCGATAAAGAAGAGAGGCGAGAAAGCGGCTATTAACTGGTTAACGCGGCTAGCGTTAGCAGCTCGTGTTTGGGCTTAGAAGGCGGTTTATTTTTCCACATGGCAAAAAAATTAAATAGAAACACCCTTTTCTTTTTTTAAACATCACATACCTTTAAATGAGAACGGCTGGAGAGGTGCTGGAAGGGTGGGTAGAGGGTTTGTGTCGTGATAAAACGAACCCGTTATCCATCATCGCTTCTGCTGATGCTGCAGTTGGGCAACACGGCCTGAAGGGCGGTGTGTTGATCTAACGTTACATCTATTTTCCCTCACAGAATTAGCCATGGAAATATAAAATATCAAAACTGCAAATGGTATGTTAGCATAACTATTAAGAAGGTTATTCTTGTTATGCATTAGGCTACCTTTGGAAAAAAAGTAATATGCATGTGTTGTAATTTAAAGAGGTATTACTATTGCAAAATATGCTCAAGCTGTGGCATTTAGATTTGATTATTTGCACAATGGAAAGAATATTAACTATTTAATTATCAATTTAATTAAACATTTAATAAAAAAAAAACGAAAAAACACTTTTAATATGTCTTGATCATTTTAGAACTTGCAGCAAAAATAACAACATTTAAATCAAGGCAGTGAAATTAATTAAATTAACCCCATTCTCACTTAAATGTAAAGATTATGATAAAAGAAAAGTAACTAATATGATTTCCACATTTTTTCTATAGATTATTTTATCTAGTAGGCTATAATTAGACATGGGTAAAGGATAATATAAACCAAATCAAATCAGACACTGGATTTCTCAAAGCAACTAACATTTATTTATTTGTTTGTTTGGCAAAATTAAATGAATCACTAGGAGGTCACACTCCAGCAACAGTTTATATCTACACATCTGCTAGTATAGGAAAAGTAGAAGATTTGAAAAATGTACAATGTTTAGGGCAAAGAAGAAAGCATTTGAAAATACTTATGTCAAAGAAACAATTTAGAAGCATATGGAAAAGTGAGCTAAAATTAATTAATTTAATAATGAACTATTGGCAAGTCTGACACACATCCTTGCATGAGACCAATAGCAAAAGACACATCAAGCGGAATGTTCCTGCTGCTCAGACGTATCTCTGTATTCCTTTAAACAGTGCTTGGACAACACACTGTGCTCTATGTTATTTCCACAGCAGGTCCTCCATTAAATTCAACAGCATTCACTCTGGCCTTCCTTTCTCATTTTCTCCACATTTTAATTTTATTCTGTCAGATCTGGTTCCCTCTCTGTGTCTCTCTTCTTTTGCAACCCCCCACCATTATACTCCAGAGGAAAGAAAACAGGAAGAGAATTACCTTGAGCTGTGATAACAGGTTTTTCTGAACACGTTATGTGTGTAATTTCCTTTGAATTTCTCCAGACATTGGTTTTTCAGCTGTGCTGCTTAACTGCCCTCATAATACAGCCCACTGAAAATAAACACATCAGTCTAAAACCTCTGCTCTCTTTTCAGTGTCACAGACTGACACAAATCACTGTTTGCCATAGCTGTAACGAGAACTGTTCCATCCCAGAGTGGGCTTTTATTTCTTAGAGAAAAGTTGATGGCAAAACTCAAAACATGAGTTTGTCATAAAAAGAAAAACAGACACAAAAGTGCAAAGCTGGCAATAGTTGATAGTATGTATGTGTGAGTATTATAAATTAGCAGGAAATGGTTTTCATCAGTGATCAAGTACAAATGTACAAATGACATTATTCTATACAAAATAAGATTATTATTACTATTATTATGCTTGTGTACAATTATGTACAGATTGTATTATACCATAAAATAACAACAATAACAACAACAACAACAAAACGAATAATTCCTATTATTCTCTATAGAATAATATTAATACTAATAATATAAATGTACTATTATGCCTGTGTATAAGTATACAGATTATATTATATTATAAAATAATAATATAAATAATATAAATGATTATGCTTGTGTACAAGTAGATTGTATGTTTTAAGATAATAATAAAACAAATAAATTATTATTATTATTAAAGTAACAGTCTATTTTTGTTTATGTGTGTGTGTGTGTGTGTATTTTATTCACATATCTTTATTTTTTATTATCTGTGTGTTGTTGATGTCTCTGTGTACTGGAAGCTTCTGTCACCAAAATAAATTCCTTGTATGTTCAAAAATACTTGGCAATAAAGCTCTTTCTGATTCTGATTCTCAAATATTAAAATTTTATTTTTTTAGTACTGTAATATTTTATATGTGCTACTAAGTTCCAACCAGTTCCACTGAGGCTAAGAATCAGTTAAAAACCAAACCAGCCCTCTGGGACCCCTCAATGGACAAGTTTTGCAACTACAGTTTTCAAGACAAATGAAATATTACATAATTTCAAACTTTTATATTTGAAATGACTTCATAACTATCAAATACATTAAAAAATAAAAATAAAATAGAACCAAACCTCACGGAGAGTGAAAATGTTACATGTACAATGACTTAAGATAAAGGACACCGCTCTTGAATAGTTGAATAGACTTGAATAGAAAATATACATTTAATATCTTTGATATTGACACAATTCCAAATAAATAAACAAATTGTCAATTTAAGTCCTATTTAAAATCCAAAGATGAACAACAACACGCAAGACCAAAGCTAAAATACATGACACACACAGTGTGTCTATGACTCTGCGTTACAGAGGAGGAGGAGGAGGAGGAGGAGGAGGAGGAGGTCTGGGTACACTGTGACACTGGTACCTGTGGAGAATATCAAGATTACCCCTTGTGCTGTGCTGAAAATCCCAGTCAAAAATGTCCAACCATTTAAAAATGGCTTGTAAATCGTAAAACTGTAAATTATGCTATATTATCACCAAACCTTGGATTCAATCGTTTTGTGTTTCTTTTTGGAACTGCCTGGTCATAGACCTCATTGATTGGAGCTTATGCATCTCAGTTTTTGAGTGAAAAAGCATTCTTTTTGGATAATATTGGCAATATTCACTTAAAATCTGAGGTGCATAAGCTCAGATCAATGAGGCCTAGGACCAATCAGTTCCAAAATTATTTAATTTTGATTTAATATCAATTTAATATTAATTAGCATTTTCAGGAAAAGAAAATCCTTTCCAGGTCAAATGACAAGAACACAACATGAGGGTTAATACACCCTCTTACACTTCAACATCACATTAAGATCTATACTGTATGTGTATATATATGTGTGTGTGTGTGTGTGTGTGTGTACAAACCTGGTCTCAGGATCAGTGTTAGGGAAAGTGGAGAGAACTCTATATCCGGTCTGCTGCAGCGCTGTCATGTAGTGGCTGGAAGATCCTCTTATCTGCCTGAAGTTGATGTAACTCTGAACTCCACGCAAGAGAGAGACAACTGTCTTCTGCTTCTTATCTAAAAACACACATGAAAATTGTACATGATGTGCATTTGTGTTTAATATACACATTTGGTGTGTGTCTGTACTGTATGTATACGTACATCTGCTGGTATCATGAGTGTCTTCTTGCTGATCAGGTACGAGAGTGTGTATGCCTGTACCTCTTAAAGGAGCTGGTCGGGCCACCAATGGTACCAAACCGGGTAAAGTCATTTCACCACCTGAACTAGAACCCTACACACATGCACAAGGTAATTGTCTCTGCAATATAATTCTATCTGATCTGTTCATTCGATCTGGATAGTAAGCGTGAGCTACCTGTGCTTCATTATTTAAAAGCTCTGCTCTAGTTCTTTCTTCCAGGGTGACTGTCATGCCATCCAGAACCTGCAGTGTAGACAAATGCAGTACCACTGCTGGCCTGTGCAGTGATTGCCGTGCCACCTGCAACACACACGCTTGGTATGTCATAGTGCAGAATATGTCTAATTAAAAGGATATTCAGCCAGGTAAAGAGGACAGAACATACTGTATTTATTCAGAACCAGAGAAGCCATGATGTGTTATACTGTGTGTGTGTG